TGTCTCGCCACAGCGCCACCTACAGGTGTCTCCTGGGAGCACTCCAGACTGGTAAGCTTGGGCAGAGTGCCCGCCCCAAGGCACCCCCTGTGCAGGTGCAGGGCCTGTCCTTGTCCTTGAGTGAGCAGTTGTCTGCCCCTCTGTGTCTGAGTAACAGGGGTGGTGGGAACAGGAGTGGACAGGTGGCTCGAGGGTCCTGCCTCCCTCACCTGGGGGGCCTGGCATGCCCACTCAGTCGCTCCACCTCTCCCCCCTCCCCTCCAAGGACGACCAGCCTGTGTCCTGGCTGCACTCCCTCTCCTCCGTGCTCTGACATCCTAACTGGTCCCTGTCTGCTCCTCGGCCATGCACCTGGAGCCCGACCTGCACACAGTGGGCACTCAGCACTCAGCCGTCTCTTCCTGCCCCTCAGTGGGTCCGGGAGGCTGAGGTGAACATTCTCTGCTTCCCTCTGGGAAGAGGTCTGATCTCAATCATCTTGCAGCCCAAGCGCAGCTGTGCCGGCAGCTCCCGAGGGCGACGCTGGCCACCCTGGAGGCTGCAGCCGACCCAGCCCTGACCACAGACTTCAGGACCATCTTGGACTGATGTCCAGTCAACTTCTCACAGGCCCTCAAGCTCATTCCCAGCTGGGCCCACCTGTGCCCGAGACCCTGACCTGCGCTGCTGGCTGGGCTGCTCCCTGGAGGGGGTTGCCCCCAAGTCATCGAGGAAGCAGAGCCCACCCAGCCCCACCCCCATCACCCCTTTCTAGTGACAGGTTTGTCCTTCATCTGCCCGCTGCCAGGAGGAGGCAGGTACGAGAGCCTGGTTGGGGTGTTGGCATCTGGAAGGGAAGCATCAGGGACCTTTGTCACCCTCCTTGCTGCGGGGTCACCCTGGTCTGCAGTGATGGCTCACGTGTGGTGGGTGTGTGTGACCTCCTTCCTGCTGGTCGGCTGTGACTCAAGCCGTCCACACCCACTGGAGCAGCATTCCCCTAGCTGGCCCCCCAGCTGCATCCAAAGTCCATGTTTCGACGAACTTGCCCAGAAGCAAAGGGCCCAGTCAGCTGTTTGAGCCCGTTCCCCACCATCCACACCCACGCTTCTGACCTGCGTGTCCCCATGCCCTGCCCAGGCCTCCTGGAGCCAAGCATACAGCACGCCCCCACCCACTTGCCACTTCCACTTCCGGAGTCTTCTGCTGACCCCACTCAGCACACAGCCCCACGTGGCCCCTCCTGCACTACCTCCTGCCCCCACCCCAGGGATGGGGTGAGAGAAGAGCCTTTGCATATTTTCTTAGTTTTTAAATATTTCTTATGTTTGTATTAAAATATGTGCCACGTAAGTATTGTTATCTATATAAACACGAGTATTGAGTTGATGTGCATGGGCCCTTGGTTTGGCGGGGCCTGGGGGGGTCCTCCTAGGGGGGAGATGTAGGAGGGAGGGAGGAGGTGGTAGATGGGAAGGGCGCTTCCACAGGGTAGGTGCAGCATGTGGGTGGGCGGGAAGGCCCCAGCCCAGCACCCTCCCCTGCCTACCCTGACTGCACTGGCTCGGGTTGGAGGTGACCTGGGAGCTCTCGAGGCAGCAGATTTCAATCTGAGCTCTGGGTTTTGGTGTTGGAACCACACATACTTGGGGTCCTGTCCCCCAGGTTTATAGTTCAGGTCTGGGGTAGGACCTGAGAATTTGCACTTTTAACAAGTTCCTGATACTGCTGGCTGGTGGGGTGGGGGCCCCACACAGAACCGCTGCTGGGGGCACCAGGGGGTTTGGGGGCTGGTCTGGGGGCTCTTCTATGCAGTGGCCAGGAGAGCAGACAGCTGCTTGCTTAGTCCATAGTCAGGAGTTGGAGGACTGTGGAGGGTGAGGTTATGGGGACATGGGTGAGTGGCATCCTGGAGGAGCTTGTATGGGAGTGGGCAGTCTGGAGCCTTGGTGATGGGGAGGAGGGGCCATCCTCACAGCCTCACCAGAGCCTCCATACCCACCACGTCCCTGATCCGAGCCCCACCTCTGGGTCCACCCTGTCCTCCGGGCCCTGTGAGGAGCCCCAGTGAGAGAAGGGCTTGTCCGCAGAGTGGCAGGAGTCATCAGGAAAAGGAGCCGGAGTTAGGTCCTCCTCTTTGTGGAAATGACCCTCGAGTGGGAGACCCACAGCATGCCTGTCTGGACCTCTGTAGGGGGCACACTGTGCACCAGTGGGCTATGCAGGGCCTTGGACCGACAGCTGGAAGGATTGCACAAAGAACAACAGGAAGGGGTGGCAGCTCAAAGGAGGTGTCATCGGAAAAAACAGCCCCCACCAGGGGAGTTGGCGGTGGGGTGGAGTGGTGAGCAATTTGGAGGCTTCCTTCCGGGTGTCCCTAATGGGGCCACAAAACGTGACAGGTGCCATTGAGTGTATCTGGGAGGGGTTGCGTGTGTGCTGCGGTCGAAGTTTATGGATATTACCTTGTTTACTGCTACTGCGGCGAGCATTCAAGTAACTGTGCATTTATGGCTGACCCAAGTCCACCACGGGCATCGTAAATGCCCAGGAGAAATGAGCAGTGAGAGGCTCAGCCCCACCCTGGGCGCCAGCCTGCAGTGCCCTCACTATCGCAAACTCGGGAGGACAGCTCAGGGTGGAGGACACTCTGGGCAGGTAGGACAGGGCCCAACCGGGCACCGCAGGCACCTGAGACAGCAGATTTCAGCCTGAGCTCTGGGTTCCTTGGTGCTTGAACTACACATAGTTGGGGTGCTGTCCCCCCAAGTTTATAGTTCAGCAAGTCTGAGGTGGGACTGGCACCTGAGCTAACCCTCGCTGGCTACCCCAGGCTCACAGCACCCTGGGTGTTTCAGGCATTTCCATAGCAGACTGGGCCCAGGAGGTCAACTGTGGCTCCGTTATCGTCTCCTAGAAGCTGTAGAATCTTGTTCTCTAGGAAATACTTCCTGTGGCAGCTTTACTCAGTCACGTGCACCTTTACCCAAGTGTTAAGCCCTTGAGAAGGGCGCACGCTGTGGTAAGGCTTCACTCGCTGAGAATTTCTGATTTATCTCTTTTCTCAAAACCGCTGTGCAGCCTGTCAAACTCAGGGTGAAGTGTGAAAACAATAAACTTTTTAAAAGAAGGATTGCTGGTCTTCCCTAGAATTAAATCGCATGAACAGGAGCCCGTTTGCACCTGCATCCCACAGATGTGTGTGGAGCAAGTTGAGTGAAGCTGTGAAAAGGAGTAACCAGGATGCAAGAGTAAAAGCAGATGGTGCTCCAGGACCCCCCCAGGGCTCAGTGGTTATACCCCAGTCCCGTGACCCTGCTCCTGCCTTGCCCATGTGCATGCCTGGCTGTGAGGGACACTATAGAGTGAAGGGGTCCCAAACCTGGGTGGGCTCAGAACACCCTGACGCTGTGAGGGGCAGAATAATGACCCCCGATGTGGCCCACACCCTAATACTGAAACCTGCAAGAGATATTAGGTAACTAATCAGCGGACTGAAATGGAAGATGATTCTGGATTATCTAGGAGAACCAATGTGATCACAGGGTCCCCAAAAGGCTGAGAGACAGTGTGTAAGAGAGATGCCACTGGAGACTCTGGCCATTGCTGGCTTTTCGACAGAGGAAGGGGCAAGGGTCAGCACTCACCCAACTGTGGGGCTTACCACACACTTTGGGGTACCCTTGAATTCAGTCTATTTTCACACCCAGCTGCCCTTGGGCATCAGTCGTTCATGTTCTGTTTGCCCGTCTGGGCTGGCTGTGGGCACAGATGACTCCCAACAGAGGCCTGGCCAGGGCTGTGTATAACCTGCCGTAAAACTTGCTGTCTGGGGGTTTTCAGCACCCTGGACAGGGTTAGCCCAACTGGGGATTGCTTCAAAAGGCGCTTAGGCGTGTGCGGGGTCTTCATGGGGGCTGTTCCCAGCAGCACATAGCCAAGGACATGATGGTCTCGGGGTGGCAGGTCAGAAACAAGCCTGTGTGTCAGGGCTCAGCTCCTGGACCTGACCCCTGGCTCCGTACCGGTGGAGAGGAAAGAGGGAGGGAGGGCGGGCGGGCAGGTGAGGAGCTGGGCAAGAGGCACTGTGCTGAGGGCTCGAGTGCAGGCAGGTCCTGGCTGTGGGCTGCAGGAGGGCTTGGTGCCTGGTGCCACCAGCACTGGCACCGGCACAGAGGAGTGACAGGGAGTGAGGGAGCGGCTGGGAGTGATGTTGCCCGCCCTGGAGACAGTGGGAACCTGAATGATAATCGGCCTTTCTGTACCTTCTTGACACACATTTCAGTCTAAGGAAGTTTTAAAAGGACTAAAGGCAGTGTTTCTGATAAAACCTCAGGAGCAGCCAGGCAGCCCCAGCTCGCTGGCAGGGCTCACTCCTCCCTCCAGGAGGATCCATCCTTGGGTCCTGGGGAGGCCATCGGTTCCCTGGGGTGACTCTCCTTATCAGGCTGCCCACCTCGCCTGAGACAAACCCGTGTCCTGCTGCCTGCATGGTTCTCTTCGCCTGGGTGGCCATGGCAGATGGTCCCATGACCTGAGTGCGCTAGGTGCAGGGGCTGCTGCAGGCAGGAACTCATTCACTTCGCCTTGGAGATCAGCCTGAAATTCCCACCACCCACATGGCGCAAGGCCAGTGCAAAGGGTGTGAATGTGGCTTCCTCAGGACCCCCTCCTCTGGCCTGCTTGGCAGCAGGACCTCCCTGCCACTTTGCCCATGGATCTGCCAGGTGCATCCTATGGTCACTCAGACAGTGCAGCGCAGGACCCCAGCCCGCAGGGCCCCAGGCACCAGATGCCGGGCTTTTTCCCATGTGGCGAACAGTATGGACGGTGATGTCTAAGCTGGGCTGTGTGTTGAGAGGTTCGGAGGCGTGAGAGTGTCTGGAAGCAATAACTACAGGTCTCGGGGTCAGTGAGTATAATGGGGTCGGGTGATCTGTGAGCGAGGGCGTACAAGCTAGGACCTCCCGCCCTCAGCGGACCTCGCTGTTGGAGACCTTGCTGTCCTGCAGCTTCAGGCGCATGTTCTGCTGCACATTCTCCTGCTTCCGCCTGCGCCAGATGGGCAGCTGGGCCATCGCAACTCCCGGGACCAACAGTGCAGGCAAGAAGGACAGGAGCCCACAGATGGCCTGCACCCAGCCCGGGTAGGACTTCTCCTGCCGCGAAGGGAATTGCTTCTGCAGAGATACAAGGCCACAGGGTGAGTGTCCGAGGGAGGGGGCAGCGTCCCCCCCGACCCACCACCAGGGCAGAGCGAGGCTGACCCGCAGCCAAGTGAATGTGGTGGGTGGGCAGCTTCCCCCACTCTCTTCCTGAAATGAAGCAGCAGGTTGGTTCATTCCAGGTGGATGAATGGAAAAGACACGGGGCCAGAGGCTGCTCCCTGAGCAGTGAGGGCACAGGGGGATGAAGGCTTAGGACAGGACATGGGCTGAGCAATGAGGGCACAGGGGGATGAAGGCTTAGGACAGGACATGGGCCGAGCCTCCTGTTGGGGCTGGGCTCTGAGAGACAGGCCAAGAACCTAAGGGGCTGTGTTCTGAAAAGAGCCACCCTGTGCACCTGAGGGAACCCACCATCATGAGGTTGCCTTGGCCTAATCCACGGGGCATCATTAGGCCCTGGGACCCCCTCTGTCCCCTCTGTTGGGGAACGAGACAACACGCCGACTTCAGGTCCTTCCTTTGAGGTTCACAAGGCACTACTGTATGAACCTAATAGGATAATGTTCACAAAAATTCTTTGAGAAACATCTCCATGTCTCCTTCTGCCCATGGTGTCCTGGGCAGACCCCCTCTCCATAGGGGGATTTGGACGGAATTGCTTCCATGCTCCCCACAGGGGCACAGTGAGGTTCAGAGTGGCTAGACAGGGTGGCAGGTCAGCCGGGCCACATGGCTCAGCCCTCGGACAGGGCTTGGTGGCAGTTCAGTGACACGTGCTACATGCACCTTCTCTCATCTCAGACTAGGAGTGGGCAGTGTGAGGAGCTTGTCCCCACAGCACTTGGGACGTGCAGCTGGAGGCTACACCTCTGTGTGCGGGGCTATGGGGGGGACCTGTGATGTCACCAGAGTCTGGAAATTGCTCGTCCTCCTGCTACTGGCTGAGGCTGTCCGGGCTGCCTGAGTCACCGCTGATGCTCCAGGGCACTCTCAGGGCCCCCTGACCTCGGGTGACACAGCAAAGGCAGCCCACAGGGTCACTTAGGGTATACTTGTCCACCATGAATGTCATCTGGGCCTGGGAGCATCAGAGCCGGGCCAGGCCCGAGGCAGATCCCAGGGTCCCTGGGGCCCCATCCGAAGGACCTACGTATTGGGGGTTCCAGGCCTTGTAGCTCA